TCAGCACGAAATTTTAATTATATGAGTATACCTAAACATCGAATATAAAGTATATAAATTAAAATCTGCGCTTAATGCTCTTTCGATTCGGTGATCGACATAACCTGTCACAGATAACGGACGTGCCAATTGTATATTATATATACAGTATATATATATATATAGTATATATATACATTTTATATATCACATGATTCTTAAATTACGAATCGATTAGTAATCATTCAATTTTATCATTAAAATATGTATTATATTTACAGCTATATCTTTTTTATGGGCAATGCTAAGTTTGCTCCGTAAAGGACTCAGTCTCTTACATTCCACCAAAAAAATTAATTAGTAAAAATAGGGTGGGTTTGATATATGGGAGATCTTTAGCCAGTATTATTATAAAAAAAACCAAAATCTTAGTCTCTTTCAACATATAAATAAAAGATGTATTTAATTAGATAGTCTGATTGCAATTAAGGTTTTAAATTAGTAAATCTTAGATATATATTAATGAATAAGTTATAAATTTAGTAATACAATTATAAATCTCATTTTTCAATTTAAGAACGTAATAGTAGCACCACATTAATAATTTTTTATGTTAATCATCAATTTTTTAGATCAGAAATGTGATTGTATAAATGTATGCTACCGTTAATAAATTAAGTCAAATGCAAAGAATCGGAAGATATAAATAATAACAAAAATTGGCTAAGATTGATAGTAACATTATTCACTGCATAATATGTTTTCAGAAATGAGAACCGAGTTTAAATAAATAAGATATCCTATCACGAAGTAATCTTTTTAACATTGAATTGAATCTGAAACCACACATATGAATAATAATCCTTATCAATTAGATTTTGATATTCCTCAATAGCTTCGTCTTTTTGTGTTTCTCTACTTAATGCACCACCCAACAATTTTCCGTATTGATTGTTCAATATCTCTCTTATTCTTTTATCCATCTTCGGCTTTGGCTTAAATATTTCATAAAATATTAATAATAATAATAATAACAATTCAAAATAAAAATAAGGTTATTGATACACACCTTTATTGTCGCAGACATGAAATCTGGAGGTAATCCATAACGGAGAACAGATTCTACATATACTTTCATTGCTTTTAAATGAATCCAAGCTGCAAAAACTTCACCAAAATTTGTATTAGCTAAACGTAATAATGCAGACTACATAGATTATTGAGATAATAAAGTAAATTAATTAAAATGACCCATTTTATAATTAAAAAAGTTTTTGAACGTTGAAAAAAATTTACCCATAATTCTTTTTCCGTAGCATCCACTTCTTCAAATTCTTTACGCTGATTAGCCATTTCATCTTCATTATATTTGAAAGCGCGAAAGATAAACCTGTAACATACCAATTTTTAATAATGAGTTCATAAATGTATGTTTATACTTATATAATGAAAAGCGATTTACTTTTCTTCTCGACATCTATTGGCGAAAT